GGGGGGGGGGGGGCGGAGGGGGCAGGGGATACAGCGGCAGCAGGTGGGGATGCGTCCGTTGGCACCGGCGCCGGCGGGTTCGAGGGCAGCGGCGAGGGGAGGCGCGAGCGCAAGAGCGGGAGGTCGTCGCGGAAGGACGATGCCAAGTCGGGAGACGGCGGCGGCGGCAGCAGCAGGCACTCGGTATCTCGCGGGGGCTCGAGGGAGCGCGGAAGCACCGGCGCGTCGGGCGTGATGGCCGGGTCCGGGGGATCGGCGGCGGGCGCGTCGTCGGGGGTGGATCAAAACAGCGAGAAGAAGAAGCGCAGCTCTTCTCTCCGGAAGGTGTGTGTGTGTGTGTGCTGTGCTTGTTTTTCTTTGTTAGCACCTTCACCTTGCTGACCATTTTGTTTTTTTTGTGTGTGTTACTGTTACAGAATCGTCCTGCCGGGGCACCTGTATTGTAGCGCTTGTTTTCCTTTCTATTCAACTGCTGTGGAGTACTGAGCGCATGTATGCCTAACTACCGCGGCAGCAGTGTTTCCGAGATGTACTCGACCCAGGATGACAACATATACAGTTTTAAATGGGGCCAAGCAGGCGACAGCACCAAGTGCACTGCTGTAGTGTGCGATGCTTTGGCCGTATCTGAGCCCCTTACGCTAGCAACGCTTTTGAAGCGCACTACAGCCCTTTCCTTTTTTTCCTCATGACACACTTCTTCAAGTTCTCCGCCAAATTTCAACTTGTGTGTGATCCATTATTGTCCTCTCAGCCTATCCCCGCATGTGCAGCAGCAGCCAGCTTTTTCCTTGTGACTTTGCGGCCATGCCTGTTGAGAAGAGAATCGATCGCTACTACTCTTTGTGGGCCTCTTCTATCTATGGATAAGACATCCTCATGAGCGTTTGTTTTGGTTTGTGTAGCAAAGAATCCCGACATTAAACAACCCCAACCGCACACAATTTCGATTTGAAGTCTTCGTAATGAAGCTCCTTCTTTTCGACGACGTCGACCAGGACATCGGGAGGAAAAAGAACGTGCCGCAAGTTGGGCTGTGTGGGGATTGCAGCTCAACTCGGCATGTCATCCCGTGGGAAAATCTTCGTGTGCGCTTTGTACGAGAACACAATCTTTCCCCTTGCTTGGGTGTACAAGTACTACCTGCTGTTCGTCGCGTACTGGTTGTCATCCTTTTTTTTTTGTAGCTCCCAGGTGTAGCCCGCAGCCTTGTCGGGCAAACAAACAAAACTAAAGGCAAGCTGTGGCACGATACAAAAAAGTAGTAGGTTCCATTTGAAACCTCGCGCAAGGTTCACGAGACCTAGGTCGTAGCTCGAGCGGCACAGGCACCCACAGCGCAGCAGCGCCTCGTCCCTTTCTGACTTGTATTGGGCATACCGAAGCTAAATCATTTCTCTATGCCTACCGCCGCTATGATTGCCTACATACCGTGGCGGTCCGTTATCGCTCTGCCGGTGCCGTGTACCTTTGTATTTTTTTATAATATTCAAGCTTAGCAGGGTCTGCTTGTTGTGTCGAGTCTGCCCATTTTCCCGACCAACTCCCCACGCGTACAAGCATGCATGTACCACAACAGCAGTAGACTCAAAAGTTGCACCGGTGTTGAAGGAACACGAAATTTTAGCGGGGAGAAAAAAGATGTCCCGCTCGGAAAGAAACGCGTCCGGAACAACTTTGAATCTGCCGGGCATTGTGCGTAATACGCCGTCGACAATGCCTACCTCGATCGATCCGGATCGACAATAGCTATGCTTGGATTTGTTGGATTTCGGCTCAGCCGTCGATTGCGATCGCTTGTCGCCGCGCGGTTTTGAGGGAGGCAACGCGGATGGGGAAAAACCTATCTCCGGGGTCTCGGGGTAATGAGGGTTTTCCCAAATGTGAAGCCGGAGTTGGCGTGTTCTTTGTGGGCATTGTCTATTTAGGACTCGTGGGTCCGCGCACGCTCTACCGTATCATGAAGTTGTCTAGATGTTGGTTTTTTCGTTGAGATGATCTTGGAAAGGTACGTGGGGTCACGAAAATTCCTACTCTATCGAGTTATCTATTTAGCGCTGAAGTGCTGTCGAGATGCGATCCAGTCGTATCTTAACCTACAGGCGTCGACTGGGAGAGGAGAGGTGTGGTTTCAGGTATGTCCTCGAGGCTTGAGGGTAGGTCGCCTGATGACGGCGCTGCTGTTCCCCCTTGCGATTCCCATATATAGTCCGGACGGGGCAGAACATGTTACCATCAAATACAGAGATGTTCACCCTGCTGCTGCTACTGCTGCTGCTGCGACGATCAAAGACAAGCGAGCCTGCGCACGAGCAGTAGAGAGCAGCAGCGGTGTGTAAGTTGTTGCCCCGAAATACCATTCACAGCGTTTGGTCGGAGATCGGCCATCAGTCGTCGCTGAGGCTGCTTAAACGTTCGACCCTTCCACGCGCCGCTTGCCTTCGGTAATGCGGGGACCCCCGCGCGGAGACGGGTTCAACCGAGGTGTCTTGATTCTCTTCCGGCTAGTATGGGGCGTGGCGTTTGTTTTTCGACCTCCAGATGGATATCCATCCGTCGTTGCAACCCGCTGCCGGTATTTGTCAGGACGACTTTTGAACCCATGTCTACGACTGCGATTTCGTTGGCTGTGTGCTAACCGCGCCTTGTTTTCGTGGCGGACACGGCTCACGAAGCATCTGTTCCTGCACCAGCAATTTCAACCTGGAAAGGCACACGGACGTCCATTTGTGGAGATTGACCCTCCCAATGTTCCACACAGGGGATATCACCAACAGACTCTTTGATGGGATGAAAAACATGGAACAACGGTTATCCGTCGGCATGAGCAGAATAGGCAGCCCCAAGATAGAACACGGTGTACCCAATAGTGGTTTTGTGGGCACTTGCGGGGTTGGCGATTAAGCATGTTACCGTACTGCTTGTGTGGTGGATTGCGCGCGAGCGCTTGGAGCGATGATAAGCGAGGCGTAGTGCCGTGCGGCTCGTTGCCGATGTCGTGGAGTTGTCGGACTTCCGGCGCTGCACACACATGCTGATACTTGGTTTTTGGGGCTTGTTTCTGTGTTGGTCTTGAAGAATGCCGCACGGTCTCCTGTACCCTCCCATCCCATGGACATATATAGTCTCAACTTGTGTTGATTCTTCCTGCACAGCGCTAACGACACCGGCAAGCATATATTTCTCCGTTGCGCCGTGTGTGTTCGTGGTGGCATCGCAGGTTCTGAACCTGGTTTGCAAGTTCGAAACCTGGTTTGCAACTCTCCTTGACCGAACGGCACACCATGCTCGCTTCCCTTCCTGGACCAAACATCCTCCCCTTGATTGGCCGCCCATCACCTCAAAGTCGGATACTTAGTCCCCCGCCACCCCCACCCTCGAAATATCTGTCACGCACATCTCTGCTCCATTATGCGATCGACGCTCTTTTTTGGTGGAACGTTTTCACCCATGTGTCCATCCCGCCAACTGACTCTTTGCGTGTTGCTTTCTGAAACCTTGGTACGCCGCGCAACAGATGTACGATAGCCTGACAGGAGGCTTCAGCGGCAGCGCCGCCCAGAACAGCGCCGGGGGCGCGGCGGGCGGGAGCGGCGGGGGGGCCGGCGGCGGCGGGGGGGGGCCGGCGGGCGGCAGCGGAGGCGGCGGAACTTCCTCGGGCAGAGGCAGCGGGGGCGCCGGCAGATCATCGTCGAGGTCGGGGAGTGCGCGAAACCAGCTGGTGACCTCGGTGACCTCTAGGGACGTCCGGGAGAAGTATGAGATCGAGAGGTCACAGCTCGGGCACGGACACTACGGGGTGGTGCGGAGATGCTGGGACAAGTCTACCCGCGAGGTGGGTTTGCGGCCGTGTTGTCTTGAGCGTGTCGGCGACGTTGCGTATTGGCTGTTGTGGTTTTTGGCTGGCGTGTACGTTGGGGGTTGTTGGTTTTGGAAGAGGGACCTGCTGACATGAGAAGGTCGCAAAATGGTGTTTGGCTTTGTCGCGGCTGACGTCATGGTGTGGTGTGTTGATTTGGTTGCTGGTGCGCGTTGCTTGGCGTCACGGCCACGTGCCAAGACAGCAACGTGTCGCCCGAGCCTCTAACTGAGCCACGGGGTCGAAATACAGAAGCAAGTGTTGCCACACCCGGCATGACGTAGCCGGGGCGTCACCGGTTCAGATTTCGATGTCACGAGCGATTCCTCTTTGTTGCATGTGAGGACATGTCCTGCGCAGTCTTCGGGCCAGCGGTTTGGGGTGGGCCGCTGTTTGGTAATGTGCTTGCTACATATTTCGGGTTCTGGTGCGAGCGAGGGTGACGTGGTCTCTTGACGACTGATGCTTAAGATAAGAACCATTTGGGTACAATCGTGGATGATATATATATCCCGATGGTACCCTTTTTTTCCGAACGAGTGGTGGAAGGGAAACAATTTGCCGCCGTGGTTGGTGCGTGCTACGTGGTGCTTGTGTTCCGTTTCGCCGACGGTAGGGGGTGACGCAAAGTGTACGCAGTGTTTGCAGCGGGGTTCCCGTGTTTTTTTTTTCAAACGGTACCGTACTGTCGTCGATAGCCGATCCCCGCGCGGCAACGGCGACGCACGCCGCGTGTATCGCCATGCCAGTGCCACATGTGCCGCCGTTCACGGGAGCGTGTGCTCGTCGTCTACGTGTTTCGCTGCCTGTTCCCACCCGACAGGGTGTTGCAAGAACATGGCGTGGGGATCTGCAGCACCTATTCGATCTGGGGGGCGTGGGGGGCGTGGGGGGCGTACTCGTTGTTTGCATGCGTTGGCTGTTAGACCGTTGACCACATCCGTCCTCGAGAGGATGAAGCTTTGTTCTCACAGAACCGATCGTCTGTGGCGAATCGTTCCTTTCTACTTTGCCGATGGTGGCTCAAAAGGGGGAAGAGGGAGGGCTACAGTATTTCAGTATTGGTGTTTTTGAAGACTTGTCCGTCCGGAAGTAACAAGCCGCCCAGCAAGGCATTTCCTCCTCTTCACGCTTGAGCTCCGAATTTGTCCTTGCCACTGTGGTTGTTGCGTTTTTTTTTTGTGCCATGCCGTGCCGCCGCCGTTGCCATTGCTGTTTGTCGTGCGAGGTCATACATGTCTTCTCCTTTGTTGGGCCGTTTACCCTCACCGAAACTCGTGTACAGTACTGCTGTTTTGGTAGCCCGGACGAGGTACATTTATATCTCGCGTACGACGCATGTTTTGGGCTACTTGCCGCTTTGACTCCTCCTTCTTCCCGTCCCCCTCTCAAGGGTATTTCCTTTGCTCGCCCCCTAACGCCATGAAATCATCAACCCTCCCCCCGCCCCCCGCCTTCCAGGGCTTCGCCATCAAGACGATCAAGAAGAGCAAGGTGAGCCGCATCGAGAGCCTCCGGCGTGAGATCGAGATCCTTCGCTGCGTGAACCACCCGTGCATCATAAAGCTTTACGATGTGTACGAGGACGACCGGTTCATCCACCTGGTGACGGAGCTGTGCACCGGCGGCGAGCTGTTCGACCGCATCATCCAGAAGACCGAGTCCGAGGAGGGCCACTACAGCGAGAAGGATGCCAAGGTTGGTGGAAATTTCCATTCCTTCTGGGGTCGTTGTTGTTGGTTGTGGTCGTTGTCGTTGACGTTGACGTTGACGTTTGCCTTCAAGCGCTGGAAGCCCTCCGATTGGCGCTAGGGACGACCCTCGGCAGTCCTTTGCTCTGCGCAGATTGCGTAGATCAATAGTAGTCATGAGAATTATGAGGCAACCAACAAACGTCCCCCCCCCCGGACCCCCCGCCGCTGTCTAATTTTGTGCATTAAAGGTGGTTATTGCGAGCATTCTCAGCGGCATTGAGTACTGCCACAACGAGCACAACATCTGCCACCGCGATCTGAAGCCGGAGAACTTCCTGTTCAAGCGCCCGGACTCGGACACGGAGATCAAGGTGCAGCACTGGAAGTCCATCAATAGTGCCGGTTTGAACGTTTGAACAGCGGTGCCACTTCGCGGTCTTGTGCAACCGGTGAAGTCGCGTGAGACACGGATGGGATTATTCAAGCCACTACCCCGTTCTCTCAATAATGCGGCGTGCCCGGTGTGGTGCCGGTGAAACTGGCGGGCGCATACCGGCACTACTGAGGGACCAGCACTGTATATATTTTCATGCCAGGGACTTGCTGCAAGGGCGCCCCTGGTTGCTGGTGTGGGTGGTGCTAGCGTTGTCTTGTGTCGTCGTGTCGGTGTAGTGTTGGCGTGGTGGTTTTGGCGCCCCGTGGCTGTTTTTTTCGCGCCCCTTCCCCCCCTCCATGGGCGGGCGGTCCTGTGGCAACAATGCTCCATCTTGTCTCTCGGGGACGTGGTCAATGGTCTTCGTCTTGGCAGCTAGAAGGCTTGTAAATCATGAGCACGCCCCCGCGGGCCCCGAATTTGACTGGAAAACTG